ATGGGGTCGTTACTAAAAAAAAGTAATATATTACCTATACTTTAAAAAAAAGTAATATATTACACTACTTTCGTTACTCTCTACATAAAGTAACTCGTTACTTTACTCGCAGGGCCGACCCGCCCCTCCCTACAGGCAGATCACGCAGACTGCGGCGCACCTACAGTGTAAAGCGCGCCACAGTTTGTGCCTCTGCGAGACTCCACTTGCAACCCCCAATTACTATTGCAATAAGGAAGATATAACACAAGTCTTTCTTTTTATATGCTCTTTAATAAAATAGGCTACCAGCCTACCACAACAAGCTCACAGTCTGTGAAACTTAAAGAACATTTCAAGAGAACAATTGTAATAACGGAACAAGTGGGCCATATCAATGTGATGTGACACTTGGCAAAATAAACAAATAATTTACAAATAAATAGCCTGTATAAAACAAAATAAGAGGTTGGCCGTTGATAACACACAGTAAATACACAAATATTGACTGCCTCAACAAAAAAAAGGCCTATTAACAAATAGCCTAAAGGCTAATGAAAAAACAACCTAAAGATGAGCTTCATTAATTGAACAGTAAGCTAAAAAATATACAATATAGTCAACATGGCCTTTTAACATCATTAATAACAATCACAAGCGAAAATAGGCCAAAGTGGCATTGGCTGTGAACATAGGCCACACTCCCTCTCATGATCTCAGACTGAACACTTCACTTATTTGATGTGTTTGTCACTGAAGCAGAGGTTATAACGTATTAGGAGGAGTCTCTCAAATAGTTTATCGGATAACCGATTTCTTCTTGGTGTTAGCACAAGACTGCCTAGGCTGAAAAGCCTCTCAACCGGCGCACTCGATGGGGTAGCGGTGTTGTATTTCAGGAAGATGCGCTTTATATTAGGGAAACGGCTCAAGACTGCCAGCTCTGACCCTGACTTAAAATAGTCAATGACTTCTGTCTCAGAGTTTAAGGAAGCTGTATCTCCCTCCATCTCATCGAAGGCAAAGAAATCCTTCTCAGCGGACGTGCTGTAGGAGGCGGCAGATTCCTGAGACGCACCCGGCTCCACACCACCGGGTGCAGAACGACACTCTGCAGTCAGCAGCGCCCGCGCAGCTTCCCTCCTTCCCTCCTCCATAAACCATCGCACTTTAAACTTTGGCAACGTCACAGCGGCAAGAAGGGCATCTCTGCTGTCAAGCACGGGTGCAAACCGTCTCTTGATGGCCTACGATAGAAATATTGGATAAGATGGATAGGTCAGCTAGGTAGGCTACACTGTAACTTGAGAGGCCTATAGCTAAACAAAATCGCAGATTGCATGCAGGCAGCTGTTTGAGGGAATACGCTCCTATTTATCATCATCATCACCAGGCAGCAACATATTTCCATATCACACGTAGGCTACATCAAGTCATCACACTTAAAAGTGTGCAGCACATTCCCATGAGCCTAATTTAGGATTACATTTAAAACAGCCTAATGGGATAGTGTTTGGTGAAAACTAAGTGCAAGTGTCATGTAGCCTAGTTAACATAAATCTGCAGCTTCACAAAAAAACATCCATGCATTCTGATATTTCAAATCTTATGTTCGGCTTACCGTTACTATGGCATCTGGCAGACCTGCTGTCATTCGGGAAAGCCCAGTTTGTAGAGCCAATGTCCTAGACATCAGCATTTCCAACGTTGGTAGAAGACAGCCGTAGTAGCAGTTGTCTTCCCCTTGCAGAATATCCAACGCCACTGTGAGTGGTTTCAGGACGGTACAGTATTCCTTGAGGAATTGATGCTCCCGTTCAGTGAGGGCTTTAATACCCAGTCGGCTACAGAGAGTATTTAACTCTGGGATGGGGATGTCAGTGATGCGGGATAGGGCATCATGGAATGAATTCCATCTTGTTGATGTCGGCACGATAAGTTTCCTTCTGCACGTATCCTCGACGAGATCAGATGCCACGGTAGAACGGCTTGCTTTAGTCCAAAGGGCAGAACACTTTCCAGTGGCACTTCTGTAAACCGATTTGGACTCGGTGTTTGATGTAAGCCATTTTTCAACATCATTGCCTGAAATTAATTTAGTGTGTGTGACGCACACCTCAAGTGTGGAGGTAGAGAAAACTGTCCTTGTTCTAGGTTGCTAGACAGCACTTCTCCAACATCTGTGAAAGCTACACCCTGATCTACTTCATCATTCCCTCGTCAGAATCTGATGCTGGATGCTGCTGCTCATACACCTTGAAAGCCTTGACAAAATTGGATCCATTGTCCGTGACAGTGGCGGTGACTTTGTGTGAAAGTCCAACTTTGAATGAATTTGTTCAATTTCACTAGCAATAACGTCATATGTGTGTCGTCCTTTAATCCTTTTGCAAGCAATTGCGGCTTTCTCACGATGGAAATCGCGTGGGTCAATCCAGTGTGCTGTCATTCCCAAAAAACTTTTATTGTGGCTAGTCCAGATGTCAGCAGTGGTAGACACAAATTCTAAAGTTTCAAATGTTCTCTTTAGTTCAGTTTCCATTGTCGCATATGACTGATCCAGATAGCTCCTGAATGTTTTCCTGTCTGACCGTGGCTGTCCTCTGTCTCCTGTTACCTGTATTTTGTGCAGTATATCTCTGAACGATGGTGATTCCACTGTGCAAATGGGCAACATTTCCTCGACTATGAAGGATGCTACAAGCCTGTCCATCTCTGCTTTGGTTACCGGTCCTCCAAATTCTAATTTTTGCTGCTTCGAGTCGTCGGCAGCGCACTCACAACATCCTGGGTTCGGGGGTCCTTAGCTATTAGCTTCACCTTAGCATGTGCTCTTTGCAGGTGCTTGTTTAGGTTTGACGTGGTGTTTCAGCCGTGGATAAAAGCTTCTGGCCTGGACACAGTTTGCACCTCACCGTCACATTCCTGTCTAGTCTTCGGACGAACTCAAAATAATGGGCATACCTCCACCCCTCGAAAGATATCGCTAACTCTGCTCTGACTCAGCCATGTTTATGCAGCACTGCACGTGGAGATGTGGACGCGCAAGTCGCGGTCGCGGAGATTACGTACATATAAACCTGCGGCGGAAACCCCTCTTGTCTGTCAGAGTGATGACTGATTTTATAAAAGTAACGAAGTAACGCGTGTCGGGGCAATGTTAGTAACTGTAGTGTGATTACTTAATTATAAAACGCGTTACACTACTCGTTACTGACAAAAGTAATATTATTAAAGTAACGCGTTACACCCAACTCTGACCGGTACGCAGTACCGGCACTTCTTATTTTACCCATGTGGTACCGGCACTTCTTACTGAGCAAGGTGCCGGTACTCAGCAAGGTGCCGGTACTCAGCAAGGTGCCGGTACTCAATAAAATGCCGGTACTCAGCCGCCGGCAGCATCTCATGATGCATCTCATGACGCATCTCATGACGCATCTATAGCTGCAGCGATAGACTAGAGCAGAAAAGACATCACATAATGTTAGCATTTTCGAAAATGTTAGCGTGGCTTAATAATAGTGCGAAAAGACAGCGGTTGTCGCCGGACAAGGATTCCCTCTCTCCTTTCCTGCTGAAAGATGGTGAGTGTACTCGAGGAGTCATTTAACCAGCCACCAGTAGGAGTCAGGCTTTACTTTCTTTTATATCCATAAAGAAAAAGTAAATCTGCTTACAGTTCTGTTTCATATGGATGTTGAGAGGTATCCATATATCTCTTCATGTTGCTCTCAAAGTGCATGATGCATTTAACTTCAATATTTAAAAACAAATCTTCCGGGGGAGCATGCCCCCGGACCCCCCTAGAGGGTGTCAGGTCCACTCCCCACTTGTAAAAATAGCACTTTACCACTGCACCCCCTCTAATCTCAGATGCACCCTGAGTCATTTTGTTTAAGTACAGTGAGCCTTTCTAAAATATACAGTAAAGAGACAAACCCACCAGCATTAGGATATAATATGACTTTGAGCCAAATACTTGTTTTTGGGCTGTATAAATAAATGTACTTGAAACAGTTGCTGATTTAGAGTACTGGCACCTTTTTTATTCCAATTCAAGCACTGGTTTAGACCCCCCCACTTTTACCATGTGGAAAGTCCGTGAATCGGTCTATCCACTCGCCGCACTTTGTAGAGCGCTGTGTCAGTGCTTCATTATCAAATCCATTCCACTTGCTTATTGTGAGAATGCCCAAATCAATTAAACTCCGTACCATGTTTTCACTGCTACTTTGTACCAAGGCAGATTCTCAGAGCCGTACACATGCGCTGTATACACATGCTGCGTTTTTTGCGTAGCTGTGTCTTTAGTTGTAAGCCCAGTGGCGATCTGTTCACCTGTCATATCATACAATAAGCCACCGAAAATAATAGGATAAAGCATTAAAAGTTATTCTGGGTCTTTGTGTGTCATTCAAGCTCGGCTGTGTGTGTGGCACGACGAGCGCATTTTGTGTGAGCGAGAGAGAGAGTGAACGAGAGAGCGCTAACGTACATAAGGAGTTGTTTCTACAACAAGGAGGAGGAGAGCTCTCTCCTGTCAGACACATCTTATAACGTCAGCTCAGGGAGGTAAAGGACTGAGTGTTTACTTAGATCGTTGACTTTAGTCTAAATTATCTCATGGAAACAAGTATTTCCAAGGCACACCTTTCATTTTTAAAAACAAGAGAATAACAGGTATGAAATAATTCCAACTCATACATAGGACAGTAAAACAAAAATACAGTTTAAAAGGAGAGTGATTTGTAAAATATGCATAAAGAAAAGTAAGTCTGTTTTAAACAGTACTGTTTCACATGGGTGTTGTTGAGAGATGTATCCATAGATTTAGTCCCTAATGTTGCTCTCAAAGTGCACCAGATAGATGCATTTAACTTCCCGGAGCATGCCCCCGGACCCCCCTAGAGGAGGTGAGGTCCACCACCTGCCCACACCCCCCGTCAAATTGTCCCACCCACATTGAGGATGCTTCCTACTCCCATTATCAGAGCAGTTACAGGACCGCGGTGGCTGACCTGGATGGCGTTGGGCTCTGCGAAGGGTAACAGCGCCTCCATGGGGATGATCCAGGGGGGAAATGGTTGTTCCAAAGTTCTTCCCCAGGAAAGGGACCGAGAGGAACATACTCCTCCACGCCTGGATGTCCCTGGCTGAGAATAAACATGAATATAACTGCAGGATAGAACACACATTCATGTGTGGATCTGCAGCCTCAGGATAACTGATACATCTAACGGGATTACATAATCAGGATACAGTAAAAGGTAACTGTATTCCCTGTGTAATCCTGTATTGAAAATGATGGATTACTAGCAGGATAACAGTGTTATTAAAACCTAAAAAGATTGTCTAGTGTTTGTTGTAAAAGGATCAGATGTTATCTCTTCTCTGTAAGCTGTACTGTTCTGTGGGATAATACTTTAAGTGTGAATCTATACGCCTACTGCCTGAATCTGCTTTATGGTTTTCACTTTCTTTGTTCATTTGTTCTGTTTTTAATTCAGTAGGTGAACCTATATCAGGGGTGCCCAACCTTTTTTGAACCGAGAGCTACTTTTAAAGTTGCCAGTCTGCCGAGATCTACCAATCCAAATAGAGAGGCGTAGCCATCACTGACAGCCTACTACCAGGTAAATACACCCTTCTACTTGTATAAAACTGGCCTTTGTACGATTAATACTCCATAAAATACTGCAGATCCTTTTCTTACCTCTTTCTAATCTACACACATACAAGTATTTAACTGAAGTTACACAACAGTGTTGTTGATACAGAGTTGGAGTTTATTCACACGTCACAAACTACAGTGGGTAATGTTTTCAAGAAACATTGAACAGTGCTGCCACATATGACACATAAAACAAGAAAATACTCTGAACCCATTCTTTGCCATTATATAAAAACAGTGTTGCTACAAAAGTATAAATTAGGCGTACTAATAAGACAACTCAGATCTGAAGCTACACAGGAATCTGCTGCCAAAGTGCAATAAAAAAGACAACATTAATGGAATCGAACCATTTTTTTTGTTGCATTTTAGTAGATTATAAAAAGAAATGCCTTTAAAATAGGATGCAAGCAACACTAGTTTCTTAACCTGAATTGATAATAGACTATAATCAATTTAAACAACAGATCTTAATGTTTGCATTCTTATACCATTGTGTACAATAATTATAATGAATAAGTTCAAACAAACTAAAACTTACAGCTGATTAATAACGGTATCTAACTTGAGTTTTTATTATATCAAAAACCTGTTATTTTTACTGTCCCCCAAAAGCGCGTCGGCAGCCTCCAGGAATGCTTCTTTCACAACTTCGCCGTCTTTGAAAGACTTCATGTGTTTCGCAAGAACGTGACTAACACGATAAGATGCTATGGTAGCAGCCTTGCTCTTGTTGTTGGGCCTGGTGAAAATGGACTGCTGTGCATTTAGCTGTCCTTTCAGGCCCCTCCCCTTTTGGGAGCGTAGGGCAGAATTAGGAGGGAATTCCGTCTCGTAGCGTTTGTGCACTGTTTTGAAATGCCGCTCCTAAATTACCCTTCTTCGATAAGGCCACGCTCGCATTGCAGATGAGACAGATGGACTTTGAATTGGAATAGATACAAAAATAATCATCCTCCCACTCGGAGTGAAAATTATATATTTTGGGCTTTTTTGCTTTTTTACTGTCACTCCTGTTGACACGGACAACAACGTCAGCGAAAATAGTGCACTGCCCACCAGCCACGCCCCGACACATGGGGTCACGCCGGCCAATCACAAAGCTTTGATGCGTTCAAGTGCATTATTCTGGCACAGGAACATTATGTTACAGGACATTAATGATAAAACAGAATGTTGTTGTTCTATTTTTAGACACATCTCGCGATCGACTGGGAATCTCCTCGCGATCGACCGGTCGATCGCGATCGACTGGTTGGGCACCCCTGACCTATATGTTCATAAAAAAACATATATTTTGATAGCTAAATAAGTAAGAATACATTTTTGTATGTGAAATTAGTCATTGTAACTCTCCTAACCATGCATATTGGAGAAGCAATTTCAAGTAAGGATTTCTCTGATTATATTAATATTTTCTTGCAATGCCAGTTTAAATGAACTACTGATGGCTACATTATGCTGGGAGTGAAGGGGTGGGGGGGTATTAGAGACAATGACAGTCAGAGAGTGCCAGCCCCGTGCATGTCTCTCCAGATCTGAATCAATAATACATACACCTACTAATATTTTGATGAGGACTGCCATTATATCTAAAATCATTTCCATCAGACTATATCTGCAGTGGCAGCCCCATGTATAATGAAGATCTGCATTAAGGAACAAGTGTGCTTCTAAGTGAAACGTCACTGCTGATTACAGTGTTGGTTTGGATGCGTATAAGCAGCTCTATCACTGATTTAGAACTATCTGACAAACTTTCTCAGAAATATCAGCTTTCCATCATCATGTTCAATGACTGTAAAGCCTATCATTATAACAAAGGGCGGCCTTGATGTGTCAGGGAACCATAGCTACAAGCACACACGGAGGATGTTTGATTTGTTGTGCAGAGGCTCACCGCTCCAGTCGTTCATGAGCACCATGCCGAAGATGTGTTCATGGGCTTTCTCGATGGGGATTGGCTCCCCCAGCTGATTCCCTCCTCCAACAAAGAAGGCCTATCAGAGTAAGGAAGAAATATAATGGCAATGAAATACTGACTTTGTGTGAAAGGGCCCATGTCATGCTTTTCCGGTTATTACCCGTCCCCTTTTATGAAGGTTTTTATGCATGTAAACGGTCTGCAGTCACAAACCCTCAAAGTACACCCTGTAGCGAGTAAAACTCTAACACAGAAAGACCTGTCTATGCTGCCCCAGAACGCCTCGTTGGAGATTTCTCTTTTTCCATTGTTTTCTTCCTGGGTACAGTGACGTGCCCATACCCAAATGGACCCATTGACCAAATAGACCAATCCCTGGAGCCGTTACATTAAGGCCGTGGATTGGTCCAAAAGGACCAATCCGCGGACTTCGTCACAAACACACACTCAATCTTTTCTCAGCTGCAGCTCTGCCGATTTCTCCTCCCTGAGACGGCGGGACGCGGCGAGGCTGTGAGTCGGTGTGTGAGCACACACACACCGACTCACAGCCAGGCTGCGGGTGTGTGTGTGTGTGTTCGGGCTGGGTTTCGCTGTGTCTCGCAGACGGCCACTGGGCTCATAGGGAGGGGGGGCAGGATCTCCAACAAGCCATGTAGGACAGAGAGTGAATACACATACTATACAGAGATGCTGTATGAGAAACCAATGTGATTTTGGAATATTTCACAGTATGAATCTATTTTAGTTTACCTCAACAATGGAATTATGTTCAGTAGAAATGGCCATGACATGGGACCTTTAAAATCACAAAAGCTGACAAAAGGCTAGAGAGAAGGGAAACCTTGGTTTATCCTAGGGCTGCTCGATTATGGCAAAAATCATAATCACGATTATTTTGGTCGATAATTGATATCACGATTATTAAAAGCAATTATCCATTTACTGACTTAAAAAAAATGTGAACACTGTTTTTAACAGTTGATTACCCTGAACTTTAAGTATAATTAAATTGAAAAACCAATACAAAAAATAAAATTAAAAAGAATAATCGTTTTATTTCGATGACGTTGTTTTCGTAATCGTTGCAAGCAAAAATCGTAATCGAGATTAAAATACGATTAATTGCACAGCCCTAGCTTATCCCCAGGGAATTTGGATTTTGAAGTACTCACCATCTCCAGCTCGATGTCCAGCTGCTTAGACGGGCCAAACACTGGAGGCTTTGCTGAGAGGAAAAGGAAACATGCAGTAAGATGTGCAGCTCTGTGTATATGTCGATCAGGGCAAACCATTCCATCTATGGGCCAAGGCTGCATTCATTGAAAAAGCAATAAAAAGTATGTTCTGTTTGAGACACATTTGTATAGTTTAAATCCATAATAATGTAAACAAAGATGAAATATAGAAGGTGTATAATACATGAAATAACAAAATAATTTTCACAGGAAAGGAGCGACCAGTGGAGTCACAAGCAGCGAATAAAGAGGGACCACAAAGAGTGGAGGACAGAGAAATAAAATCATGCGTATGAACATGGTTGGCAGTCGAATTTTAAAAGGATAAAAAAAGTGTGAAGAAAAATAAACAGTGCAGTACTCTTCTAGGGTTTGCAAAGATGTAATAACAAGTCTTAAACTTGTATCTGTAACATGCTCATCTCTGGTGATTTGTTGAGTGGACTCTGTGTTTTCTGTCAGCTGTGGGGATCTTACTCTGGTCCGGCCTCATCTGGCCGGAGGGCCGGCGGATGGGGGTCCGAGAAACGACCACTGAGGAGGCCCTGCCGTGGTACCCCACCGGGAGCCTCAGCCTGCAGACCCAGGATCAGTGTTAGCATGACGGGAGCACAGGGAAATACAGCACAGGCAGCTAATGGGCCGCTGGGCCTAGATCAGATAACGTAAAATACATATATAATATTTTGTCACAGCAGTATGTAGCCAAAGAATGGCACATTAATTAAAAATTAAGTTAAACTAATAAAAGCAGTAAATATCTATATATCAACAGTGAAAAATGTATACTAATAAAGTATCTCAATTAAATGCACAATATTAATACACAGGTGGAAGCCAGTGTAACTGTGATAGGCCAGCCTAAAACTAACTAAATGTATTCAGAATATACTATTAACATTATAAGCGAGCTAAGTCAGTACAGTATTACATTCACATTCATTCACTCGGTCGTGAGAGGACGCTGGCGCTGACTGTTCGCCGCTTCTCTGTCCGAAAATCTCGTCTTTCTTTGTGTTAATCTAAGAGTTTCTGACCACGTTTTACTGCTATAGTTTTCTAACTCTTCTGTGGCTTTTGTGTTCTGATCTGGACACATTTGTTACACCCGATTGCCACTTTTGACGGACACTCTGGTTTTCTACCCTGCTACACCTGCCATTGTAGCCCACCTGCTAACGCTGCTCCATCCATCCATCAAATAACCAGCCCCATTCTTCGTCCTGCCCCTCCCCGTGGGTCCTGACCAGTGTTGGGCAAGTTACTTCCAAAATGTAATATATTACATATTACTTATTACTCTCTTTTGAAAGTAATAAGTTACATTACAATATTACTGTTTCTGAAATGTAATGAGTTACACTACTTTTTAGTTACTTTCACCAAAATAACCTCAAAAGATTGGCTAGGTATTTTAAATGCTGAAATGTAGTTTAGTGCAGCTCATTATACATCCAGTGAAGGACGATGTGGTATAGCATAACAACTGTGTAGGCCCTTAAGGCTACTAACAACTTGTATTAACGGCTTAGTTGAATACTCGATTCTGATTGTAAATTCTTAACATGTGACACATTGTTAATACAGCAGTACAGTCCACTGTCAAGGACTATAATGAAGGTTGCTAAGGAGGATCAAAAGAGAAAGGAAAAGAGGTTAAAAGACGGAGCACTGGACGTCAGATAAATCACCAGAAGAAGGCAGACAGGAAGTAAACAATAACAGGACACAGAATGGGCTCTGTAGTGTGTTTAGTATATGGCCGTGTACAGGCCCAGTTCCAGAACAAAATGACTCAGGGTGCCTCTGAGGTTACAGGGGGCGCAGCAGTAGCAGGTTTACATGAGCAATAGTGGCCGGCAACAGCAATGAAAAATAGCATTGATGGTCCACAATGAACAGATTATGGCATTTGTTATGTTTTGAAACCAAGCAAGTGAGAACATTTCAAGTGAGTTAAAAGTGCAATCCTGAAATATTTCATATAGTCCAAAGTGGACTATGGCAAAGAAAAGCACAACAGCTTCAAAACTGTACTGATAAAACAAATGAGAACATATTGTAAATCAAGGCACATTATTTGAACCAGCTCATGGTTTGAAATGGCCAGTGGCGACTGGTCATTAGGGGCAGGTGGGGCACAGCCCCACCTAGTGTCAGCAGAAAGTATTAAAGTAATGATTACAAAAAAATGCAAAAAATTAATTAAAAAATATATAAATATATTTTAAGATCATGTTTTTCATCTGATTCGTCTGTACATTGCTGTTTTAGTCTGTGTTCTTCTAATTAGTGTCTACAGTGTGTGCCTATTGAGCTGTTTTGAGCCATGTGGGACAAAACCCGATCCTGCCCCTCCCTCTCCCTGTTTAAGTCAATGGTGACTGTAAAAACTACACTGCGCATGCTCAGAGTATTGTCCTATTTAATGTGTGTGGCAAAAAAATAATGACCATAGGGGCATAGTGCTGCCATCCCCACCATACGTCATCTCACATAATTCAGAGCTGATTGGCTGTAAGTACGTGTGCCGCGAAAAG